TTGCTTGCCTTAAGAAAACAAAGTATTTAAAAATCCAGATTTCCAAGCTAGTGCATAAGAGAGTGATGGTTAACTTTACAGAAGAGATTAAGATAGGAATCTTTAAGGAGCAAGTGACTACAAGTAAATTGCTTTACAACAAATGTGCTGCCTCTTTTTTTTTTTTTATACCACCCTTGAATTGGAAAGACTATATCTATTATCCTTTTACTTCTCAGGATTTTAGGTATTAGTTCTGGGCAAAAATAAGGCATTCTAGCAGTAAAACCTAGAAATAGGCTTCTAGCATTTTCCTTAGAAACTTCCTTTTGTCCAGCATTATTGCAGTCATTTCCATGACAGATAAGTTTTATTCTTACAGTGTTAGCAGGTAAGTGACTTTTCCAGCTTTTGGAGACAGGCAACAGGTAGCCAGCCTGTTATGGTGGCACAGACAGGAGGACTTAGCTCTGGACAGTTTTTGTACCTCCTAATGGCTGGTTGGGTGACTTGGCTTTTTGTGCCTCGCCCTCCCTGGATGAGAAGTTGCATCCTCTTACACTGAGTGAGGTCTTGAATTCTGAGGCGAAGGAGCCTGCAGCCAGAGCTGAGGCTCATCTTAGTCTTACATCTTATGGAGGCTCATTTTTGTCCTACATTTTATAGGGGAGCATGGGGTGTGTTGTGTGACTGTCATTCCCTTCTGTTAGGTTTGAAGGTCTTTGCGGGGAGGCTGATGACTTTTAAGACTGAAACGCAGAGAAAGCCCTTGGGACTTTTTCAGAGACTTCCAACAGGAGTTTCCCAAACCCACTTGCTACCGTTCACTGGTTCAAAACCATACCAGGAATTGTCTTCAGAGCTCAGCACAGTGGTCTGAGAGAACTTGAGCATAGAATTGGCTCTCAAAGATGTATGGAGTGTTGGTGGCTGCATGAAACACACACATCCCCCACCCCACCCCATGCCCACCTGCGGAGGCGGCTGCAGTTGGCCTGTCCCACGTGGTGCTCTGGAATGTGCTGCTCTTCCTTCTGAGGGAAGAGGACATTGTGAAGAGCGTTACTATTAGTAGGGCAGCTTTGGCTCTGATCTGTCAATTCTCCTCACGCCAGGCCTTGATTGAGCAACGACAAACTCAAGAACCTGTGGTAGTCAACTCGGCTGACCACCCGCTCCTTGAAATGTTTTCTTTGGCTGCTGTGACCCCATGCTTGCCTGGTTTGGGTCCTACCTCTCCAGCCATCTTCTCGGTTTTCTCTGTGGATCCTTTCTTTTGAGCTTTAAATATTTGATTCCTCAAAGCTCGGTCCTAGATATTTTTCTCTCTTCTCCTTTCTTCTTTCTTTGTGCTCTTTTTTATTTTCCTAGATAATCTCACTAATTCTCACCCATTTAGCAAAAATTCTAAATTTAACGTCTAGTTCACACTTCTCTTTTGAGCTCTAAATACACATATTTCACTATCTACCTGACATTTCCACCGGAAGTCTCACAGACTTCCCAAATTCAACCGAGTAAATCCTCCCCTCCTCCAGTTGGTCCCTGTATGTTTACTGTGGTCTTCCTCACCTGAATAAGTTTCATTGCAGCCCATCTAATTTCTTAGGTCAGAAGCGTGAGAATGATTCTCATCATCTCCCTCTTCCCACTCTTCTGAAGTTCAAACAGTAGTTAAGTCCTGTCAATTATATCTTTAATATTTCTCAAATCCCCACCTTAGTTTAATCATCCCATGTCTCTCCTGGTAGCTGCATCAGCTTCCAAACTAATTTCCTGTCAACATTTCTTGCATCTCTACACTATCCCTCCCCACCCCACCCCCCATTTCCCTGCCTCCTTTGTTCCCCAACCCTCTCAAATTTTCTCCTTAGCAGTTCTTTCCTCCCTCCCTCTCTCCCTCCCTCCCTTTCTCCCTCCCTCCCTCCCTTCCTTCCTTCCCTCCTTTCTTCCTTTCTTCCTTCCCCTACCCCCTTCTCCCTTCCTTCCTTCCTTCTTAATGATTTTAGTTTTTATTTGTATTTTCCTTATACAAAAAGACCTTTTCAACTTTTTATTTTGAAATAATTATAGCATCATAGAAAGTTATTAAGTATATTACAGAGAGGTCACATGCACCCTTTAGCTAGTTTCCTGCACTGGTAACATCTTACATAATTATAGTTCAATATCGTCAATTGAGCCTGGCCGGTGTGGCTCAGTGGTTGAGCATGGACCTATGAATATGGAGGTCATGGTTTGATTCCCAGTCAGGGCACATGCCTCGGTTGTGCGCTCAATCCCCTGTGGGGAGCGTGCAGGAGGCAGCCTATCGATGATTCTCTCTCATTATTCCCTTCCTCTGAAATCAAGAAAAAAGTATATTTTTAAAAAACAGTCAATTGACATCGATGCAATTACAGACCTTATCCATCTTTTATTGGTTTTACATGCACACACACTGTGTACTTATGTGTGTGTATGTATAATTCTCTACAATCTTACCGTATATGTAATCACCACCACAATCAATATTCAGAACTGCTTCATCACCCCGGACATCTCTCTTGCTAAAGTACATTCCTTTGAAACACAGTGTGATCCAGTCCATGCCTTGCTTAAAACTCTTTAATGATTTTAAAGCCCCAAATCCTTAAATAAGGGATACCAATGCCTGTGTCATCTGGCTCCAGCGACATTGCCAACTACCTCCTGCCTTTCTCTGCTTGCTCACCAAGCCTCTGCTCACTAGCCATTTTTCCCCTTAATTTGCCAAGTGCCTCCACTGCTCAGGGCTCCACACCTGCTGTGCTCACCAGGAGCTCTCCCCTCTCCCATGCAGCTAACGCCTCACTTCTCAGGAAGTGTTTCCTTGGCATCTCAGACTAGGTTAGGCTCTCCTATGGCTTGTTTTCATTGCCAATTATGCTTTTCCTTCATGGCACCTATCACACAGTTGTAAACAAATAGATAGGAGTATGGCTCATTAATTTGAGTTCTCTCTAATTAGAGGTGTTGGGGGTATCTTGCTCACCACTGTATCTTTTCTGTCTAGTGCAATGGCTGGCTTAACAGTTGCCCAATAAATCGTCGTTCATGAACAAATTCATGAATAACTACTGTAACCTGGCGGGTTGTGGCTGGGGATGTGGCCTGAGCCCATGGAACTGGGCAGAGTCAACTTGCTTGTATGGTTACCTGCTCTACGAACTCATCTGCAACCTTCCCAACGGTGCCCTGTCTGAGACCCTGGGCATTTGTGGCTCATACCACTCCGAATCTCAAACTGGTATTTCCTCTCCTATTCCAATCCTGGTATTCTCTCTGAGAGATTGGAATAGGAATGACCCTGGCCACTGTTCCTCAATAGATCTTTGAGATGCTTTATCAACTGGATGTTCATCAGGCTTTTAATGCCGGGCTTCTTTCCCTCCGGGGTCACTGCCAAGGTGTCAGTTTGAGAGGGTTATTAGTCCAGAGCGTGGGAGTCTCTAAGCTGGATGGCTCCTGAGAAGTCCTTGAAAAGCTTTTAGATCTGCCTTCTCCTCAATACTTCTACCTGCTCTTTGCTAAGTGGTCCCCATGTCCCCATCAATGAATTATTTCCACCCCCACTCTTACTCGCTCAGAGATGACAGTGTGGTTTGTATTTGTGGAGCCCCAAATTTGAAGGGTTCTTATGTTGACTGAATAGACAGAATGTGCCCCAAATGACCGTGGTGTCACTAGCTCTGAGGACTTGGAAGGGAGGAAATGGGAGCCTCCTGTTGGGATGGCTTTGCCAAGGGGTGGTGGTACCACATGGGGTCCTGACCATCTGTGGAGGGCACTGGGTTGGTGAAAGTAACTCTAACTAACACCCCCACCCTTGGTCTCTAGTGTCCTCCTTTAGAAGTACATAATAACTCATGTGAGAGAGGCAACACAATGCCCTATATGGTGGGTTGGGCAGCGCTGGAGCTCTGAAGAAGGAGGAACCCCCAGCAGTAGGCAAAGCTGTCAGTTCTTTTGTGATAGAGTCAGTAATGGGCTTTGCCCTGAACGCTCTGTGCAGACTGACAGCACTGGGGAACCTGAGAGCATCATCCAAACTTCCTTTCCCTGCCAAATAGAAGGTCAAAGGTCTTCACATTCTGTGGCTCAGACCTGTCCTCTCACTGCCCGAGGGTCTCTTTTGGGTGAGCTATGGCTGACAACAGAGTCCAGCTCTGCAGGCCAAGCCTCAGAATTGTTCCATTGGGGCTGTGAGCTCTAAGGTGAGAGCTTAATGTCTCTCTCCGATCCTGCTATTGGCTTGGCTAATGTGATACTTGGGATGGAGAAGAGAGTTAGAGCCAGTGACCAGTCATTTTAGGATAGACCTGGCCATTATGCACCCTTTGCTGTGATGCTGCATTTCTTGGCCCTCCCTGCTAGGCCACGTTCCCCTATAGCCCCTGGTACTGTGCAAGCGTGGACTCCCACTAATCTCCTGGGCATGGGCAGGGATGCTTTGGATAACAGTGCAAGGCTTTGCAGAGTCCCTGAGCTCTGTCCCTGGAGTCCTCATACCCCCCTCTCCTGTGCCCTGAGGCAGTGTGGTGAACACCTTTGTGGATCAGAAGGCCCAATTACAAATAGCTTTCATGTGTCGCTCTTGCCATAGTTGATGCTGGGGCCGGGAGATAATGCAGGTACTCACAGTGCAGCCTTGTGCCATGTGTATGCAGCGTCCTTTCTGTTTCTCTCTGATCATCACTTGCTATCCTCGTAACTGGCTACACCTCTAGGAGGAAGTGCTCTTAGGGCAAGAGGATTTGGATGGCATCTATCCCTGGTGGAAGGGTTAATGCCCATCTCTCTCTTTAGGCCTTGATCTGATGATGTAACTGTGGGTAGTGGGAAGTTTTGGGAGGGCCCCATCTGGGTCTCTAGTTGTTTCCCAATACATGCTCCCCTCACCCTCTCTCCAAGTTGGGCATAAATGTGTTTTCAGCTAGTGGTGTTGAGGGGTGACAAGTCAGACCCTCTGGCCCTAACGCTGCCATTTCTGCTTCCTTTAGGTCACCCAACCTGCCTGCAGTTCACCCTGAACATGACTGAGGCTGTCAAGACCTACAAGTGGCAGTGCATAGAGTGCAAATCCTGCATCCTCTGTGGGACCTCGGAGAACGATGTGAGTGTGGGGCCACCACCAGGAGGTAGAAGTCCATGGGGCTGGGTGTCCTTCCTGGGGAGAAGAGGAAAGCAGGACTCTTGTAATTCGGGTCCCGGAGAAAGGGCGAGTCATGACCTTCCCCTTCGCCTTTGACCCCCGAACACTTGGGACCCTTGTACCACAGGACCTTGGTTCCCCTCAGGAATAGATTAAATAAAAAAAGGCAGAATAAATGCTGACTTCTTTCCCTTTTTATTAGTTTTCAAATATACCAGGGTGGGTTCAACACCTATTCATGATGAAAACACTCAAGAAAATAGAACTTGTGGGATACTTTCTTAATATGACAAACTTTTTTTTTTTTTTTTTTTTTTTACCTTAGAATGAAAGCCATTATCTTACTGATGGGGAAACACTAGAGGCATTTCTACTAAGATCAGGAGCCAGATAAGGATGCCCATTATCTCTACTTTTAGAGATATTAGCTAAGGCGGTTAGACATGAGAGCCCAACTAGAAGCATATGATGGTAACAAAGTAGTAAAACTCAATTTCTTCTTTTTAGTTAAATTCTATTTCATAAGCTATAATAGTATATCTGAAAAACCCAAGAAAATGAATGATAATGCTAACTCAAATATTAGAGTAGCAAGATATAAAATTACCATGCAAAATTAATAGCCTTCATATGCACAAATAATAGCAAATAATTAAGTTAGAGGACATAATAGTAGAGAAACTCTACTTAAAATAGGAACAAAGAAAAATATGTAGAAATAAGGTTAATAGTAAATGTGCAAAACATCTGAAGAAAAATTTAAAACACCTTTGAAAAGATACAGAAGCAGTCTTGTACAAATGAAAAGGCATTGTGTGATCTTAGATAGAATGAGTCAACATTATAAAGATGTTAGTTCTTCCTAAGTTAATTTACAAATTTAATTCAAGCCCAGTAAAAACACCAGGTTTTTTTTAAAAATGGAACTAGACAACTTGATATTGAAGTTCATATGGAAAGAAGCATGCAAGAATAGCCAAGAAAACACTGAAAAAAAAAGTTTTGAGGGGAGACTAGCCCTACGAGGTGTTAAAACATACTGTAAAGCCTTTATCATTAAAATAATACAGACAGCCGAAACCGGTTTGGCTCAATGGGTAGAGCGTCGGCCTACGGACTGAAAGGTCCCGGGTTCGATTCCGGTCAAGGGCATGTACCTGGGTTGCGGGCACTTCCCAGTGGGGGATGTGCAGGAGGCAGCTGATCGATGTTTCTCTCTCATCGATGTTTCTAACTCTCTATCTCTCTCCCTTCCTCTCT